TGGGGAATCTGAGGTGCAGAGAAAGGAAGTTGCTTGCCTTAGGTCTAAGGGGAACAAGCTGGAATATGAACCCAGAGCCACTGACTCCAGATCCATTCCCCTCGAAGGCCTTAGGCTGGACTCTTCCCTGAACAAAGGAGGAGCTGACATACCTAGCCAAGGTCCTCAGATCTGTCTTTGGCCAAGACAGACACATGTTGGTCATCAGTCACTCCAGGGTTTCCTCCCTCCTTGGGTCAAGGCTAGAAACACACAGTGGCTGAGATTCTTGTGGAGATCTCTAATACGAATGATCAAAATGATAATAATTCCTTTCATGCTATTTACAAAGCACTGTCTCACATGTATACACAGCAGCTGTGGGAGTTGGGGAGGGCTTTACAGGAGCAAACAGGCACATAGAGGCGAAATCTGGCAAGTGGTGAAGGTGGAACTCAAAGCCCGTAGTGAGTGCAGTGTGGCATGTGAAAGTACTGCATCTGGAGTCAGAAGAGCCGGGTTTGAGTCCAGACTTTGTCATTTACTAGCTTTGTAACCCTCGGCAAGTCACTTCCTTGCCTCTGTTTTTTCATCTGTAAAATGGGAGTAATAATATTTAGACTAAAAGGCAACTATCTCAGTGAGTCTGGAAGACCTGGGTTCAAATGCTGCTTCTGACAAATACTGGCCCCCAGGTAGCTCTCTAAGGCTGTTTGTTACAGATGAGGGTATGTATGATCAGCACTGGAGGAGGGAATTTCCAGATGGTAAGTTCCCCACATCAAACAGCTATGAAATCATAGGTGTGGGTCTCCCTGCCCCCTACCTCCATGGTCATTGGAAAAAATGTGTTTTTACTCCCTATCACATATGATTATTATGAGGATCAAATAAGATAATAGATATGGACTGCCTTTGAAATCCTGAAATGCTAGAGATGTTAGTTATTGGGTTGTTAATTATGAGCCCAGTGTTTTCTCCTCAAACTTCACCCCACTACAGCTTTTCTATAGCTTTCACCTCTTCGAGAGAGGGAGTATGTAAGGTACAACTGAGTCAGAAAACTTGGGCCCAGGTTCTGGTTCTGCCACAGTGTTGCTTTGTAACCATGAGCAAATTGTTTGGCCTCTGAGCTTTGGCTGACTTCTCTGTAAAATGGGGATAAAAACCCTTACACCATTGACCTCACAGGGTCTATCGTTTATACAAGTGCTAAGTCCCTCAGATGTTTGACTAGTGCCTCCTCCACAAGGCTTCCCCTGTCAGAGGGCTGCATCGCTGTGCCTGCCCCCTAGGCTCACGGGAAAGGAAAAGCGAGTTGGCGGCTTTGACCTCATGTGGAACGATGGACCAGTCAGCAGAGAAGAAGAGGGCATCGATACGCCAGGGCCTGGGAACTTTGTGGCCAACACCCACCTGGGTACGTGGGGCTCCTCAGCAGGTTCCCAGCGGATTGTCTTCCCAGCCTGGCAGTATCTGAGGTCAGGGAAACACAAGCGGTGGTGGCGGGGAGTCGAGTGGAAAAACCACTGGACTTGACATTTCCACTCCCCGTCAGTCCATAGTGAATTAGTGGCTCTTCAGTCAGTGAGTGCATGGCTCTTTAGACAACACTCCTTTGTCCCCATCAGAATTGTTCTCTCATTTTTTATAATCTCCTTAATGAGTTTTCCCCTCATGCTAGGCTAATTGCCACCGTGTAGAATTTCAGTCCATGGGAACCTACCTCTCCCTGCTCTGAAACCCTTTGTATCAGCTCTCCCCAGATCTGAGGCCCACGTCAAACTGCCTGTTTTCTTCTTCATTCTAAACTCTTAAGAGCAAGCAGCAATGGATCCGTGGGTTTCTAATCAGGTGAAGTCTCGGGGAAAGATCATGAGGACGAAGACACACTCAGGGAAGGGTTCTTGAAGATGGTGTTTAGACTGGGTCATGAAGTCTGGGTGGTGGTGGTGGTGGGTTTGCATGTGCATGGGGCAGAGGCATGGAATGGGGCAAGTGTGAGATGTGACAGGTAATCCAAATGGGTTAGAGTACAGGCCCATGGATGGGAGGAGTGTGAAAGAGGGTCCAGAAGAGAGAGCATCACAT